CTTTGCCAAGCAAGGTGACGTATACATTTCACTTTAGTTTGAAAGTTATACTTCTTGTATAACTAGGATATGTGTACTGTTTCTGATATGGGATCAAATTTCCATATACCATGATTCGCAGAACACCATCATTTCACTAAAATTGAATAGGTTCTGCGACAATTTTTAAAGGAATTCTACAACAGATTTATAGAAGACTTCATATATTATTCAGGATCTTGAAATCCAATATAGATAACAAACCAAAGTTTTGAATTTGTAAAGTTTTCCATTAGAAATAATTTTTGTAACTCTTTATCAAAAATTTGCCGTTTAAAATATTATTTAAAGCTTAAGTCAAATGCGGATAAGTGAAATCTTCATCGCTTTGAAGGATTTTTTTACGAGTAATGACTTCAAGGTCGTGGCACCGATTTGCTAATGTTTGTAGCCCTGACGCATGCGAACAATAAAAAATAATGAAATTTATTCAATCGAAATTTACATAAATACACTTAGTACCTATACCTACATAACATTATTGAATATTAAATTGTTTATATCTTTTGAGTTACAAATAAACGATACGAAAATGTATATAACAGTTTTATAGAGTTGGAATAGATGGGAAAGGAAGACAAATATATATTAATAACTTTAGTTTTAACCCCAAATTTTGATAATAATATATAAAACCTAAAGAAAAGTCTTGATGACTGTGCCTTGATAACTAACTAAATCTCTTTCTAACAACTGCACAATATGATGTTTAAGACCTTAGGACTTAAAGGCCATCAACGCAATCGTGACTCCTCCGATGTTGCAAGTGTCCCATGGGCAGCGGTGATTGCTTACCTTCTTAAAACTTTTTTAACTTAAAACGCGGACTTTCTTTAAAAAATACTTAAAGCTGAATCTGAAACAATGTAGTTCATTCAACTCAGGCTCGTTCCAATATCGTTATCTAGCAACTGACATCAGCAATTCTGAATAAGTACCTGCAAGGAACTTTCGCTCAAATCTTACTTGTATCCTGTAGATATTTTTTTTTTCATTTGCATTCATTTCGAAACACTGATATCTCATTTTGTGGTGTGTCTACAATTCAAACCCATTAATTTACACCCAGCCAAGTCACCCCAGACTATTTTTTTAACATGATTGTGACGTGTGTAGTGGAGCTATAGTAAATAAATCTGCGGAGAGGAGGGAATGTGACAGTGTGTACTACTACAATACTCCACGTATTGTAGTAGCAGTTCTTAATGTGATATTTTTTAAAGCGAAAATTGATTATAAAACCATTTGCATCGCCTCGTAAGAATATGTTTTTCTTGAAAATTACCTTTATTAATGGTTCTCAACTCACACGATTACAATGAATTACTAATTGGTGCATATACCTCTCACCATTGGTGCATATACCTCTCACCATTGGTGCATAACCTCTTCACTCTTGCCTTGAAGAGGCCCTACGTTGTAATTGGACGGAAATACGGACACCGGCAGGTTGTTCCATTCCTGTACGAATTATTAATTGTACCTCAGAGGTAAACAGCACTATGCGCCAAAACACAAATTTTGAGCGGCAAAAGTGTGTGAAGTGAATCCTTGAATGCTTTACGGATTATGATGTCATATACGATAGGATATATTATTAATTAGGCGTCGCAGGACTTAACGCTTTATACTATTGTGTAGAATGTGTTCTTGTGATTTTAATGGTGTAAGAAAAATAATTTGGAAAAATGTGGAGTTACTATTGTATGTTTCAGTAGAAATATTCAAGCCACCGCATCAAACTGCTGCGTCACACGTCAAGTGTATTCAAACAAATCCGTTGACGAAACTGAAGTGAGAAAACAAAAACATAAAACTGTGCGACCGATCGCCGACATTAATAACAGTTTCTCGAAGCGGCTCATTGTGGCTCGGACAGTTCGAAAGTCCCAATCGGCGAGAGTCCACGTCCCCAATCTGCATGTAAAGTGTGAGGCATAAAGGAAATTTACATCCGTACAAAAACCCCTTTGTGCGGCGTCGAGGATGCGGGCGGTGTGAAAAGCGCGGTCGACGGCCCAAACAAGTCGCGAGTCGCGTTAATGGCAACGCATTCGACATTGCACGCGTGTAAATGAGGAAGCCGATTGGTGTTTTTAGGGATTATGTAATTTCTCTCGAAACGTATTTCCACCTCGTTCTCTTTGCGTGTCTTTTACTGTCACTACCTTCGATAGCTCGGCGAAATCATAACTTCGCATCTGCCTATCCCGTGTCGGAGACTTGAATATATGTAATTCGAATCATATCTTAAATCCATATTAATAAGGATTCGAAAAAAAGGTGATTTTATTACTTTCTAGTGAATAAACAAAAGAACTATACGAAGATTCAAATAGAAAATTTAATAAAAATTCTTACGTTTTTTGCAATCTTACTAAAAGCGGATAGTTAAAGCTGTACTTTGAAATGACAATATCAACTAAACCGGCACCGTTTAAAAAAAACCTAAGAAAAAATTCATTTCCCGCATCGGTGTCTAAATAGATGGCGTTAACGCGAGTACACCAAGCTTGAAACTAAACACTTCTTTCTCCACTCCCGTTGTTCGGCTAACGACGGTCGACGTTGTCTTACGACACGTAATGACAAATATTGCGCTACAGTCTGGGCCGGTCGGACCCGCGAGTTCTTCTCGGAATCCACACTAGTCGCAAGTTCAGCAATCGTAAGTAATGATGCATCATTACCCGCTCTCAAAGACCCCGAAAGTTAATCCCTACTAAAGCTTAAGACCAATTAAAAGTTAAAAGAGTATGCAAACAAGCGAGCGGGTAATCCAAAACAACAGAGGTGTTACACTTGGACCGCAAATTTTTAGAATTCGATCTCCTCTCCGGAACTTACCGGGTAAAAAACCAAAATATGAGTTGTGATGATTATTATTATTCCTAGCGGAGGTTGTCTACTCACGCACCAGAAAGTTACTACTTATCACAGCGGATTCAGCTCCATTGTATATTTGAAATCGTGAAAATGACAGAATATGTTAACGACGAAGAATTATTACAGTAAGAAGGTCTTGAAGTAGCTTCAGATGATTCAGATTTTTAATAGTAATTATGAATTATACAGGGTGGTTTTTCTAAGTGTATCCATTTTTTTATTACATTCTAGACATAAGTAATGTTATATAAAAATGATAAATATTTAAAATCACTCGTAAGTAATTAATGTCATTCATTTGAACTTATATAAAAAAATGCGTGATTTATACGCAACTCATTTATTTTACGCGCGATCATTCATAACTAACACGCACACAAGTTCGTGCACAGTAAAATTTAGGTATTTATGAATGACTACCGCATGTTCAACACGTTTTTTAGTGAATAGAATGACTTTTTTTTTGGAAAAAAAATAATTTGTTTTTTTATTTCAATAAACGATTATTCTACCGAGTCTGAACCTCCTGTGTAAATTTGGGCACTTCTCAAAGAATCTCCCTGTATACTGTAATTTCTCAATGTTAACTATATTGACTTTGCTTACCTGTTCATACCTGCTTGTAAGTTAACCATGAACAGAAAACAGTCTGCAAGCCTACTAAGGCATATTCCCCGCATTAAAAATAACTAAATTTGTTCGGTTATCAAAAGAGGGTCAACAAATTTTGGTCTACCAACGACCTTGATGGTCCGATGAATAAGAAAACCGTAGATCCAATTGCATAATTTCCGACAAAGCCCATATGCAATAATCTCGTGTTGAAGAGATTTGTGCCAAACCGTATGGAAGACTTTCGCTACATCTAAACTATGAATGAGCTAGTTACAATAGAAGATATAAAACATCTTTAATTATGGCATAGTATAGATAAACAAGAGACATTTCAATTTCATTTTACAATTGATTTTCAGAAGTTCCCTAAGTATCTCCGGAGTCTAAGATTCAATACCAATGTAATAAAAATTAATATGGAACCGACCACATGGGAAGCACCAGTGGTTGCACTCAGTCGACGGTTCTGAGGTAACAAACAAAGGAATTAAAATTAAAAATAAACGCGATAAATCCCTAAAAATTTGTTTCATTTGTGACAAATATAAAAAAATGCAGTCGAATTGAGAACCTCCTTTTTTGAAGTAGATCAAAAAGCTGACTGACGGCAAGCTGCAACAGAAATTGTTGTCAGTGAACAATTAAATAAACATAGGCAACACTACATCCACCGTTTAGTCGATTTGCATGTAAGTACCTTGTCTAGAAAACAACACAAAATAATGCGGGGGCGGCTGTCCCTCCAGTCGAAGACATTGTCCATCTGTGGATGGACATTCGATATTTTAAGTTACAAACTAAACTCACTTTAAATAAATTATATTCAATTGACAACGCACGCGCGCGGCCGCAAGGAATGATATAGAGCTGCAAGACTGACAAAATATTAGTATATATTATAATGCATAGGGCATTCTATACACAGGCTCTCTCTATACACACATTTCTTTAGAGGGCTCATAAAGTCATCTTCACTACTATAACTTTTTTCTAGTTTTCAAACATTGCTTTTTCAATGTTATATGAAAAAGTTATTGATTGCTGTAAATATAATTCTAATATTATTTTACATATTGTGTAGTTACATTATTATTTTTAAGTGTTGTATATATCTATTGTGCTTAGACCGTGAATAAACGTTTCTTCTTCTTCTTCTTCTAAAGGAAATACACAAATGACACCAAACATTCCTTGAAAAATGTAATAAAAATATTTTCATCAGTGTCAATGTAAGCCATTTACGCAGTGGCTAGAGCGTCGAGTGCGTGAATCAAGTGAGTACTGAACCATCTATAAAGGTAATTTTCTCGAAACACATATTCTTACGAGGCGATGCACATGGTTTTTATGATCAACTAGAAAACACGTTAACAACTGTCCCGAACGAGCCAATGCATTTCATCATTAACCTCTTTTGCGTATCTATAGGATACCTAAATCTTAGGTACGCATCAGCTCCGATGGATAACCTGTCGTCGGGCCCGTTGTTTGCAAGGGAGCTGATGCAAATGCCGCGTCCATTGTTGCCCACTAACGACTGGACCAAGCCTGGTCATTACTGGCCCCCACGAGCTCATGTCAATCCGCGCCGAAGGCAGCGCACGGATCTAATTTTAGGCATGCACATCCGTCACCGCGCGAGACGTAAACATGTGTAGCAAACTCGCATATGATCTATTTACAAGGACTCAATCAGATATAGACAACCATAGCTTAGTCTAGACGAGATTGAGGTTCGAATTCCATTGGTCAGTTTAGGTTTTTAAATCATGAAAAATATATTCACTGTAATGTTTATTACATTCACACAAAGTATCATATATAATGAAAGCTTGTTTTCAAAAAATATGCTACTTATTTCGTCATTTATACAACGGTATTATTAGAAAAGTTATAAAATCTAAATATATCAATATTACTGATATTGATATATTTAGATTTTATAAGCCCTATTCTTGCAAATAAACCGAATTCTCTAGGTCTTAACCTAGTAAGACTTACGTGTAAGCTGTAATTACGAGTATAAGTTTTAAACAAGAGCTGGATAATATCCTTCCTGATCGTTAGTTGTGATTTTCCTCTGTAGCGGCAACTGCTCACTGCCTATTCTTTCTTAAAGTCTAGCAATGGCTGTCTCTGCTGTTGAAGAGCATCTTCATAGACAGTGGTATAAATTACCATTTAATGGAGTTTGATCATTTACTTTTAAAACTTCAATGCCACACATAAAATTACTGACTATTTTTCCTTTCGTACACACTGGAAGTCAAAGTCAAAGTCAAAATTTCTTTATTCAACATACACTTATTTCAAGCTCTCTTTGAAATAATAATTACAAAAAAGTTGCCTAATCTTGCGTATGGCAAAGACGGCAGCGCTCAACTTCTTAGCTAATTTATCTATATGAGCTCCCCATTGCAACTTAGAGTCAATGCATAATCCAAGGAATGCTGTTGAATCCTCAAACGTTAGCATGTTCTCATCAATTCAGATTCCTGGTTTGTGTGACAACTTAGATAAAGTATATCTGATACAATTAGTCTCTTCGGGGCGCTCAAAAGTAAATTATTGGTCTGCAACCAGCAGTGTATCAGATACCAATTTAAATTACCTGCACAAAATCATAAATAGTCTATACCCTCACACATTGAAATTAGGGGAAAACGCAGGCTCGAGAAAAATATTCCAGTTCAAAATTCCACCGCCGTAAGCAAAACAAATCTGACAACGAGTTCTGATCCAAGGGCTACAACAAAAGTATGTTATAGCTAAATAGGTAGTTAATAAAAGAGGTCTTCAAGATTCCAAACCGAATGGAGGTCCAAAGAACAAAAAAACAAAGGCAATATTTAGTAACAATAACTTGAATAACGAGTGTATCTATGTTAAAGCGGTATTTTTTTATTTTTTTTTTTATGTGAAAATTTGCCAAGCGAGCAGGTGGTTCACCTGATGTTAAGTGAATACCACCGCACATGGACATCTGCTACACCCAAGGGTTTGCAGATGCGTTGACAACCTTTTGAAAATTGGGCTCCTGCTACCTCACTCACCAGACGAAACGTGAAAGTATTATACATCTACTTTACGCCGGTCTTCTAAAATAATCACATAAGAAAAAAATTATCTTTATATTTTAACTGTCTTCTATCTCTCAGGGATGTGTTAAGCTGTGCTAGCGAAAGAAAGACGGGAGATAAACGTACTCGCTAATTGCCTTGTTTAAAGAGCTACATCCACAATGCAACAACCTGAACTAATAGTTATTGGACTACTTCTCTTGAGTTATCTAAATCACTGAAGGTTAAGCTTTAGCCTCGTAACCCATTCTGCTCTTACACGATTGACCGGAAAAGTATTATGGGCTAGGGCGAGACGGTGGGATATTTGTACTTAAAAACTTTAATTTTTGGTATAAAAATATATTTTCTTTCTTTCTTTCTTCTACTTATGCATTACACCCGGTGTACATCATAGCTTTAACCTGCGTAAAGGCCATGTAGGTAGTTCAGTTACTTTGCAAGTAGCAGGATATCTTTATTTTAGGGTGTTCCCCTCTTACAGCCTAATGTGGTCTTATTCATCTCAGTACCTGAGAAAATGTTAATACTGCCGCTAATTTGGCATGACTGTTTTTATAAATTACGTATTTGAACCCCAAGTGCGACAATCATCGACTCTCAAAAGTAACTTGGAGTCGTAAAAACCGTCCTGTGACATCGGTACATATAATATACGCGTTGTGAATTCATCCTGATCATCTGTGATCAATTCATCATCATCAATGGCGAAATGTTGATCACTTTTCAAAAATGCCGGTTATTGGTATGTTATTTATATTTCACAAGTTATCCTCTACTCCAGAATGTGGTTGTGCTTGACTGTACAACTCAAACCACGGGTTCTTTATTTCACTACGTATCCCTTCAGACGATATCTCGATCTCCTCAAAATACGTAACATCCTCGTGGATTTTTCGTGGATCTTTCAAATGGTATCCCCAACTTTAAACGATATCCCAACTACGTACTGTCGCATTGCACTAGGTACTCCCACAGAACGGCCCGCGAGGTCCGTCCCAAAAACGGCACCAGGCTACCTCGCTTTCGTTGAACAAGCCGATTCCCCGGTCGTCCGCCGATCGGGCGGACAGCAAATAACGAAATCTGCCGATACTATCCTGACCATTGTTGCATTCCGCGTTTTTGACTCGCTCGGATTCCCGACATCGCGCGCGCTCCCCGCTCGCTGCGTTTGGAGTTGCGCTTTTTGTGCGCATTTGGCTTACAACGGCTGCCCGAGTGGAGTCGCGCACTGCTGCATTAAGTCGAAGTGTAAAAGTTTGTAGAAAAGTAATGTACTGTAAGTCGAAGTGGCATCGTCACCAGGTTCGGAACACACATGGACATATTAAGTAACTTCTAAGTGATTAACAAACATGAGTGCATGAAAATGTGAGATGTAATGCAAATTGGCACAAGCACCTCTGCAGTATCAAAATGCAATCTACCATGCGGTCGTTCGTGATTGAATTATTGGGATGCATCATTATCATGAGCCTCAAGACATCCGCTGTTGAACATATACCTGCCCGCATACTATCACATACCTCGCATCTGTATCCACCGGTTGCCCGCGACTCTTATCATGTCGTCAGTCCACCTATAAGGCGACCTTTCAACACTACGTCTTCCGGTTCGCGGTCGCCACTCGAGAGCTTTTGCTCCCGGTTATCAGTTCTTCGAGCGATGTTATATTAACTACGGGCTATATTTTGGTCCAAGAATCCGCATTGCCTAAAGACAAGGATGTATAACCAGTGTGTGTTACCAACGATATGTAGTGTCTAAATACTACCCTTTTGAAGAAGCTCAGAGTCACACAACGAGCTATGAAGCAAGCCATGCTCGGAGTTTCTTTGCGCGACTAAATCCGGAGCGAGGAAATTCGCCGAAGAACAGGAGTATCAACATAGCTCTCCGGATTTGCAAGCTGGAGTGACAATGGTCAGGCCACATCGCTCGGAATGCCATCGACTTAAGAAAACTTATTTGCTTTAGCCCACATCGGAACTTTAAAAAAAAAAAACCTCAAAACTACATACCGTAAGGATATGAGTTCAATTACATTTGTCATTTGTTTTCTATATTTTTAAAAATATATCTATACCTTTCCAAAGATATTATTTTAAAAATCAAGACTTGTGGGAACGGGATTAAAATTTCATGACTACTTTTGGCCGCGGTAACCGAATAATCCTTAGGGGCGAAGCCGCCAGCATCAGCTAGTTTGGTCTAATTGTAACATAAGCTCAGTAGGGTTATTGTAGAATGTTGTGTGGTATAAACATTTGTGTTATAAGTCATTTAAATTATACATTTGTTTGTGATCCATATATTATAGTCGTCATAAATACGAAAGATTAACATATTTATGACAGCCATAAAATGTAAATTCTTAAGGTCTCTGTAGATGCGACGTTTTAAATATAGTATAATTTATTACGAGTTATAAGTATGATTTTTTTATATCTAAGGTGGCAAACGAGCTGGTGGTTAACCTGATGTTAAGTGGTAACCGCCGCCCATTAACATTTGCAAAACCCGTAGGGCCACGGTTACATCATTAAGTATAACACTTCCTTTATTTTTATGTGAGAAAGTGTCAAACGAGCTGGCAGTTCGCCTGATTTTAAGTGATAACCGCCTGCCCATGAACATTTGCAACACCCGTAGGGTTGCAGATGCGTTGCCACCTCTTAATCGTAGGCCCCAGCTAACTAACTCACCAGACAAAACGCAGAAGTGCAACACTTCTACTTCACGCCGGTCTTCTGTGAAGTCGTGGTACTAACCCGGACGGACCTGCCCATTCGTGCAACAGCGAACACTGTTGCGTGGCCCTACCACAGTTAAAATGTATTTCCAAATGGCAAACGAAATTCTAACAATTAAAAAATACTTTTAATACGGCTCTGTAATCCAACTAAAATATTTCTAAGTGACAAAGACAACAACGTGAAACGTGTGAAAAAGAACCAAACAATCGACCATAACCACGCTTTAACAGTTATCGTAATTGAAGCATTTATGCAAAATTTCTGATATTACGCATCTGCGTACCATAGCCGATAAGTAATTTGTTACGGTGAAGTTTTTCCCTTTTTTTATCAATAATAGCCCATCGATATACGTTTACGGTGAGCGGAATATCTTGAGGTAATGAATTTTTAATTCACTCAATGTGTTTTATAAAGTTATTACTATACTACTTACAAGAATTATTTCTGTTTGTGTTTATCGCACATGTGCAACGGACAAAATAGCAGGTTGTTTATGCTATGTCGCAATTACAAAGTGGGCAGTTAAGTTTAAGTTACGTTTAATATAAAATTACCTATCTACGGCCACCACGTGGTTTTACAATCGCTTATACTGCCAAAGCTCTTTCTTCTTTTTCATCTTCTTTCTAGCGATTTCTACAACACAAAATAAATCCAAATTTAAACAATCCAAATTTAAAGTTTACTTAGAAGAGAGAAAAACTCTTTATTTGACATAACTTAATCAAAAATTGGTTATTTCAAGTGCTGAATTATCACGTGTTTAGCGGTGTAGGAAAGCATCGTGAGGAAAGATTTCGAAGACATGTGAAGTCAGCCAATCCGCAGATGGGTCGCGTGGTGGACTATGCCCTGATACCCTCTGTACAGACACCCAACAGGACCTCCGTCCTTGCCCAGTGGTGGTACATGTATAGGCTGATACTTTAATTAAAAAGTATTAAAAGAAAAGATACATAAAAAGAACTATTGTGACGTCAAATTGGAATTCTATTTACAAATTGCTGTCCTATTGTATACCCCAGCGCTGATTTTCAAATGGAGCTTAATATTGGCTTCACGGATGATAATTCTAATAATATTATTACTTCAAAGGCATAAGGTGAACGCACAGAAATCTTAAGCTGTTCGGGAGCTTTCGTTCATCATACCGCACCGCGATTTATCATAATGTCCGGCGACTTATATCAGGAACCTCAATGCTAGTATTACCACAGACTGTTTTGAATACAGCGTACATATATGGACGACGTTAAATCATTGCTCTCGTTTTGCATACGCCATCGACGTACCAACCGCTGTTTAGCGTGTCTATTTATATCACTGTTGATCGTAGGTCATGAGTTTGAGCTTATTAAGCTAACACAGCCTATTTCAATATAAACATTAAACACTGTATTCATGTACTAAGAGCCTGCATCTGAACGTTACTGATTTATTTACTGAAATTATTATTATTTACGTAATAGGACCTCAAAGTATGTTTTACTTCTGCATGAGTGGGCAGGCTCTCGCGGCAAGAAGAGCTGGCGCTTCACCTGATGTTAAGTAATAGCCACCGCCTATGGACATTTGCAACACCCGTAGGTTGGCACCTTTTCATAAATCGCCTCATTTACCCAACACTTGCCCTTCACGCCGGTCTTCTGTGAGATTGTGGTACTTACCCGGACGGACCTGCCCATACATGCAAAAGCGGAGACTGTTGCATGGCGCTACCACTGTAAATACTAAATAGAATCGCAGCCACTCAGCAGACTGGCTCAGAGAAGATAGTGCCCACTATACAAGGGAACATTACAACCCCAGGGTTGTCGATGAGCGGCGATAATTATTTAACACCAGGTAAAACTCCCGCATATATATCTATAACCATGTTCTTCCATACAGGAAATCGTTCTCGTCTAGACTGTAATATGGGCAGTTAGTACTTTTTACAAAAGATTTTTTTTATTTATAGGTAAAACACTCGTACGAAACCAACCCCAACCTTTTAGTAACTCGGCCTTTTAGTAACCTTTTAGTAAAGAAATATTAAGACATTGTCTTGCAGGTATATTTATAAGATTAGCTATAACGTAATTTACTTGAGCAATTGGCGATTTATGGTTTAGCTAGTTAAACATTGAGTTATTTATTACCGTATCACAAGCACAAACAATTTGTTTTTGATCTTAAATAAGAAAAATGATCCTTCAGAAAATTTCTCGCTTATAACTCGCATAAATTGTAGTGTATGCAGTTGTACGCCTTCGACTCAAATATCTCTGCCCCAAACTGGAACTACTTATTTTTGTCAGTTTATTAACTAAGAGAGTTCTATGGACTACCTCTCTTTAGAAATTGTCAGGTATGAATAGCCTTACATCGCATATAAATAAATCCTCCCCATAAATTGATGGGGGATCTTTAATTTGCCTACGCTTATTGCGTCTAATTCGCTCAATTTCCCCTTCAAAATTAAAAAAAGAAGATGCGCCTGCGCCGCGTCAAAAAGACTTGCGAGAAGACAGATGGCGTCACCTGTGCGATCGCTCCAGTAAATCAAAATGGCGGTTGTCCCTTCTCTCTCTCACCAGTACGGCTCACAAGAGTCTATCTCCCTCGTTCGATCGCCCCGACGCAATGTATAAGATTATGAGAAGCTACCCGCATTAATTTGTTTTGATTTATGTTGTCATGGAAGGCATACGATGTTAAACACCGTGGGTATAAAGCATGCAAAATGAGCGACACGAAGCGATCGTTCCGTCTATGTTAATGTAACCAAAGAGAAATTATTGGGATAGTGATAAAACAAATTAATAACACAAAGTTGTTATTTTAATCGAATAATCAATGCAATGCGCCAAAAAAAAATTTATTTGAAATTCAAACCAAAGATTGCGGTACGAATGCGCAGTGCGAAGTAACAATAGAAGGTCGGTAAGCAAGAAATAAGAAATTAGTATTGACACCTGTCTGAATATGGGCTATAGGGCGAGGTATTCGCTATCAGACCATACATAGACAGTCTACTTTTTATAAAGACATGCTCGGAGAAGTTAAAGCAGCGATTCTAAGCAACCATTTAATGCGGTTAGGACTAAAAGAACATTACGAAGACGCATTTAATGTAGTCGATCTACTAAAGGCCTATACAGATAGCAAATCGGAAAACATAAATCAGTTTCAATTAAATTTACCATTATGATAAACAACATTATCATGTTTCCGTTTACTATAAATTAAATGGGTTTTATTAATAATGAATCACGGTCCCACGTAAATAAAATCATTCGAAGCAAACAGAGATAGAAAGATATTTTCCTCATCCGCTTCATAGTTTCAAACGGTTCAGCAGTTAGTTCACGAGCTCCAAAAAATCTGGTAATTCCCAGGACGTCCAATAACTTATCCTTTCATTTATTTCGTACATGTAAAGAGATTCAGCGCGATATTAGATCGCAGCTCGATTTCCAGTTACTAAACCGAAATTGCTTTGCCCTATTATGGACATTATC